ACAAAAATTCTTAAAAAAACACTTGGAAAAAATGAAAGCTGAAGAGGTTAGAAGAGGCAAGTCAAGTGTTGCGTCACGCAACACACGCACAGATGTTTTGTAGTCTGAAGCCTTCCAAAAAACAAACTGCTGCGAGAGGGAAAGTGTTGCGCGTGTGCTGCGCCGCGCAGCAATAAGTGGTTTGAAGAGGTTTTATAAAAAAAACAAACAACACCTTAGTTTTTATAAAATTAATTTGTTTAAATTGATTGTTTTTAATATAGATTAGTTTTAGAAAAAAAAAACATAATAAAGAAAACTATGGCAAAAATGGCAAACCACGCACTCTAAATGACAGTTTTGAAGATGTGTGACAAATCATATATGGCGCTTATGTGACAACATAAAGGGTGTGGTAAAAAGTGGCACCACTTCTCTAGCATTAGGTCGTGTTTGAATAGAAACTCTCATTTGACACTGCATGTTTTTGATGTTTAGTTTAAACAAAACGTTTCAAATCTAAAAACAATCTCACATAACGTTTAATAAAATACTATCAGCTACCAATTACCAACTACCTGCTACCAGCTAGGTTTGCCAAACGCTACCTTAGACCTGTGGAATACCTACAACAAGAAATCTTGTGACCATGGTGACAAACCATTATGAGCGTGTACACTATTTTGATGCCTCGTGTGGTATTGTGGTCACCACCACATTACACAATGGCCAATAGTGAAGCTTGAAGCATTTTCTATTTGACTATTTGTTTGCAACAATTATAACATTAAAAAAATTGTTTTTTAAGTTAAATACATTTCACTCCTATGAATATTACACTACATTACCTTGTTTTCGCATACCGTTTTTCTCTTCCTTTACTACATACACACATTTATTCTATACTATAAAAGACGTGATCCAAAATAATGTGGTTCAAAATAATTTGTGTTCTCAAAACACATTCATTTGAAATCGAATGACCTTTCATGTGTTTTAGTTTTAACTAAAACACATGTCCAATTTTGATAAAAAGGGATAGCAACCAATCTTATCAACGTCCCAATCTCTGAACAAGCCGATTCTTAATCTCCATTCGTTTCTTCATGAAAAGTGCATATTTTGCCACAAGTTCATTGTCTTGAGCTGTTATTGTTGCAACAGCTTTACATCCAAAGGTCGTTTTCTCTAACTTATCTTTATACATGAAAGAAATCGGCACAAAACTTCCCTTGTTCATGCATACCCAACCATGGGCCGCCCTTAATGCAGCCCCTAATGATGTTGAATATGCTCAAAGTTTCAACAAAAACAAAATCTTAATTTCAAGAAACCAAAACCAAAGGGTATATCTGTCTTTTCAATTTATTTACCTGGTCTTTGTATTGTGTAGACATTGCAGCCAAAAATGGAAGGTATGCAGCTGAAAATGGTACGATTTGCAGAGCCCCGCCTGTTGCAATTATGCGCTTTGGAAGGGATGGCATACCAAATCGTTCTGCATGCCCTCTCATTGAAAAGAATTGTCCTTCGATTAATGCTCGAATCTGCACATGCATGCAAAAATATATTATATAAACTTGAAAAAAAAGTATGTATGAAACAAAGGTGAAAGATTTTCAGTTTCAAACTGTTTCTTCTCATAACACCCCACTGCTTGCTAAGTTTAGTAATTTTAGCAACAAATTTTTGGTATATGCTTCACTTGACTATACTAACCTCAGAAGGAGGATCAAACTCCTTCACTTCCCGTTCACTTATGTCATCCAAAGTGTCGCCTTTGAAATCTCAAGGGTATATCGATGATAACCGATTAATAAAATAAGAAAAAAAAATTACTTACTTGTCAACATTCTTATAAAAAGCTCAAACTAGTGAAGTATATATAGCGTTGATTTCAAAACGATACAAATCGTTTTCATTAAGCATATATA